TGTGTGTGTTGTGTGTGTGTGTGTTTGTGTTTGTGTGTGTATGTGTGTGTGGAATCAATTGCAGTGGGCTTGACAGTAATAAGTGTAGCAAATCTTTAAGATATAAGTACCCCTATACAATCAAATGATAGAAGTAGATTGTTGAGATAGGCAACCTAATGCCCCTCCATGTTCTGAATCATAAGCACCGATTAACATGGTCAGTGATATAGGATGATGAGAGCGGCAGACCAAAATATCTAAAGACATCCACATACCTGCCCCTAGTTGAAACACTTCACTGATCTGGATGTCATTCATATTTACAAGCCTTTCAGATATGTTGCATGACCATCCATGGGATTCTTGGTATGACAGATGTCCAACACTACCAAGACCACAGTGCCTTCTTGTAAGACAGCTTTCATCTATTACTTCAGAAAGGAACAAACAGGAAATGTCCAGAGCCTAATCATATATCACATTGTCTTTATAAGAGGCAAGGAGACACACAAGCTTCTTCCCTTTGAAAACAGCTCCATAGATAGCTCTTCTGTTTTTTCTTCTCTTCGTCCTTCTGACACTCTTTGTATATACATAATACTGTCAGCAAACACGGGTCCAAGAACACACGTGTAAGCCTGGGCAGAGAGCAATCAGGAGTTTGCACATGCTAAAATGGGCTCAGTGAGTCCAATCTCAGCTAGCCTTGATACAACACTCCTTCTCGCAGGTCTGCCCACATAAGAACACCCTGGTACTCTCGGATATTATTATGAAAAGGTCAAGTGGGCTTTGTAGTCCTTAGACTTAACTTGCACCACTAACAGGACTCTAAGTAAGCTAGGCCGAGGCAGCACTCTCAGATGACCCTATGACAAGTGTACTGTCCAGGAAGCCAAATGAGTTTTATAATCTTTATTTTATTAAAGAAAAAGCATGTTACTAAGTAGCAAAGCCAAATTAAACCAAAACAAATAAACTAGCATTGTGCTGTTTAGTTACACAGATGTAGTGAGGTAAAGAAAACATGAAAAATATAAAAGAGTCCAAAAACCTTACAAAAACACAAAAAGCCATTAAAAAGAATAAAAACAGTTCCACTCCAGTAATTCATTAGTAAAAACAAAATAATCCAAGTAGGTTATAAAAAGGCTATAGTCCTCAGTGATCCTATAGAATAAAAACCCCTAAACAAAAGTAAAAATCCATTATATGTCCCATAGTCCTTAGAAAAGAAAAATCCAGTAAATATACCATAGTCCTTACAAAATTACAAGAGCATAGTCCATATGGAGTATTCCAAGAAAAGGAGTTCATAAAGAATATTCCATAGAACAGTCCATAGAAAATAGTCCATGCACAGTCCTTAGGAAAAATCCCATAAGTCCAAAAGTAATCCAGCAAAGCATAGGAACCAGTCCATGTAGGTAGGCCACCAGTCTGTCTCAAAAGACATTAGAGTGAGTCCCAAATGGCTGAAGAGTAGGTCACGAACGACTGAAAGGTCGGTCTTGGAAAGACAATGTCCATAGGCAAAAAGTTCCTTTTTCAAGAGTAACTGGCAGGGGCTCATCGCACCTTCCCACAATGTCATCCAATCAGAGTTCGTTACTAGGCAAACAGTCCTGTTACATCACATGACTTCCTTCCCATACGCACCAGATGTTATTTGGGTTTTCTGTGGTTTATCAAAGAGTCACAACAATTCCCATCTATCTAATCACACCGAGTCCTTTCTCAGGCTTTCAGAATAACATTCTCTCGGCTCGCCTAGAAAACAACTTGTCAGCATAGCAAAGATATTTTATACAAAGAAACAAGATGGAACCTCTCTGGCTCATCTCTTAATTACAAAACACATATGCCTTAAAAGATTTTAACTCAAAAACCCATCTCATCACAAATACCCCCTACTTCTCCAATAAAATAACATAGTTCACTGCAAAATAGAAGGAAAGCTTTTCTCCCTTTTGGGCTGCTACATATTCTAATATTTATCTGTAGATTTTCTGAAGATGAAAAAACTAGTGTACACATAAAGAAACAATATACTTTGGATTAATGGTGCCCTTGTTATAAATTACCAAAGTAGCCTGAAATAATAGACTAATACATATTTGAACTAACATTTGTGTAATTAAATACTATAGAATAAAACATATTTGAACTAACATTTGTGTAAATACTTGTTATGTAAATACATTTTATCAACAGTATTATCACCTCCATCTGTAACATGATATATTTACTTCAGATAAGCTATATAATACTATCCATTAGCTAAGCTGACATCACACATGTACATCATAAAACAATGTTTTATACTGACATCTACAGTATATCCATTATTCATCAGAACCTGCCATTCACCAAAACTGCTGAACCTGTCTACGGATTTGGGAACAGTGGAAGCCTTATCTATTTATTCATTTTATTTATTTACAATACTCAATATGCAAGTATTTAAAAGAATCGAACACATACCACAATAAAAAACAGTAAACAAAAGCAACACCAAGAACACATCCAAAGCAGCAAGGCACAAGAACCCCACCCAGTCAGCCAGTCATTTCTTCTGTTTGTTACATGACACTCTACCTTTCTTCAAACAAAATTTTTTAAAAAAAATCATAGTCATTTCTGATCTTGGAGGAATTGGTGATTCTCAGTCAGAACAGAGCTGAATCTGAAAATAAGTATTTTCAGCATGATGTTTTAGGTATATTAAATAAAAAGGTATGGGAGACAGGACTGAACACTATGTTATGTCATTCTCTTATTAATCCTATGGTGTTTTTTTTTTTAAACTATGGCCTGCATATTTATTTTTTAACCTTTTTCAGCAACCTAGGTGTGTTGTACCACCTTGTTATGTTCAAATATTTTTCAAAGTAGCTCAAAGACTATCTCTTCTGCTCGTCCATGGAAAGAGGAAGGCAAAGTTTTACTTTTAAAAATATTGTGACTATAATTAATATCGGTACTGTAACAAATTGCTTTTATTATGACTGCTTTTTTAAAAAAGGAAAAAGAAAGAATTGCTGTATAGCTCAGTGATTCAGGGAGAGATGGACTAGGTGATTCGTAGGGCCCCTTCCAACTCTGCAGTTCTATCATCATCATCATCATCATCATCATCATCATCATCATCATTATTATTATTATTATTATTATTATTATTATTATTATTATTATTATTATTATTATTATTATTATTATTGAGTGGGGAGCCATTGCCATTTAGTTCCATACTATTCAAAAGAAGATTCAGCTGTATATTTCACTGCCCTGTAAATTTTGGTGTGAACTCCCCATTGCACTGCCCAAGTTAGAGCCCTGATTGTACTACTCTAGCCTTTGAAGCACAATACAACCTGTTATTCAATAAGCCTTTATTTAGTCTTCACACACTTTGGATTTCTACACAATAGACATTTCCCTGCCTCCATACAGCTACTAATATTCATTGTCCCCATTAATTCTGCCTCTTTTAGAAATGTTCATCAAAGTTATTTCCTTGCTTTAATTGGTATTGAAAGCATAGAGCAGGATCAGAATTGAAAAAGCTTTTTTATACAGTAATTGAAATCCTGCCAGCAAACTGCTGTAGGGCAGACCTCAAAAAGGTATAAACATCTAAATACAGATTGAAATATTTGAAATTAAATATAACATGGACAACAAAATGAACCACAACACGAATGTCATTCGAATTATGTGCCAAGCAATGGCAAAAATATCAAAGAAGCAAGGTCATCAGAATTAGATTGGAATTTTGAGCAGTCCCAGAGAAAGTTTACATCACCACCTGAAGTGTTAAGAATTCTTGCATTAGAAAGTAGAATGTCTGTTTAACCATGCAGCTATTTGATCTAATACAGAGGTGATCAGGTACAACAAAAGAACAATTCCATTCATCCCACTAATAGAAACAGGTCAAATTTCATTCATATATCTGGTAAGGGCATGAAATAGATGAAAACTTTTTGAAAAGGTCATGAGTATGAATGAGGAAAGAAGCACAAAAAGTGTTTGATTGGGGGTGAAAATTCAACATTAGTGCCAAAGAGAAAGAGAGAGAGAGGGAGAGAGGGAGGGAAAGGGCAGGTAAGGAAATACAATAACTCGTAGTGGGAATATAAGTGAAAACAGGCTAATTTACTGGAATGTTACATTGCATAAGCATTGTTCCACTTATATCCTCAGATTCATGTCTTGAGCAGAAGCCAGCCAAATATGAAAGAAGCCATGCTGTAAGAAGTATTCATGAAGCCATCACCTTGATTTCTTGAGCACTGTCGTTATGCTCCTAAGTGATAGAAACTTCCGTGGCAATTTCATGCGGTCATATTTTGCTTTGTTTTTGGAAGGGGAAAGAATGTTAGACTTACATGGTATTTTGCAAATTCTATATTTTTAGCAATATGCAGCAACAAGAGGAAACAGACAAATAGTATGAGTTATAAAACTACACAGGTGTTATCAAGTTTCCCCAATCCAAAAGCACTTTATTAACCTTGTCCAGCCATTCTGAAATTAGATATATGTAAGTATAAATTATACCTTAAAGACTTCATCAACCACAGCAACATTAATCATTGGAAAGCTGTCAGGGGCTGAGGGATGAGAGAGGGAAGTTTAAATTACTGAAAATTGTGAATGCTGATGAAGGCATCCTGGCAGTAGTGACTTTAGTTAATTAAAGACTTCCACTTCCTATCCCGCAGCTCCCATGGCTTCCTGACAATACAAGTAATGGGAAGCTCTGGACTTTCAAAAGAGAATTTGTAAATGTTTTATTTCTCAAAAATTGCCATGGCTCGTGAATCATGATGCAGCATAACTTATGTAACAGGATTTCAGCCAGCCCTTTTCAGGGCATATTAACAAACTGGTGCAAACAAGTGCAGCATTAGCTAATGTTCACCCTTAATTTTTAGTAGTAGTGATGGGCCATCAAGTTGATCAACAAATAAACTACTTTGCATAGAAGAATTTGGGGAAATAAAATAGCCCGATATGAATATAAAAACTTACCTAGAAAATTCATAGATCTTCTTGACTATTACTATTACACAGAGAGGAAAGAGTAACTGCCAGTAATGATCATAACATGGCATAGTATCATTGCACACTATCAGTGTGGCTGGAGTGTCTGAGGGGAAATCTGGTGCAGCAGCACAACAGCGGCACCTCTTGTATCATCACTAGGACTGTTGTGGCTATGAGTTCCGATGGGAGCCAGACTGGCCACCAAATCAAATCCATTCCTCCTATTGATCTGAAGGCTAGAGCAGCCATACCAAAGAAGAGGTAACAAACAAACACAGCTGATAAATGGCCAGGAAAGAAGCTTAGCAGCTGGGACCAATATGGCTCCCACCAGCCCCAATCCTGATACTTCTGCCACTGTCCCCACATTCCTTCAAAGGACCCCTTGGCCCTAGCTGGCATCAAGTTGTGCTGCTGTCTCCTATCATCCTCACAGCAAGAGTCCAGGTGCCTGAAGCAGGACACAAGAAGACAGCCCTTGAATGCCTCCTTCTCCACCTGCTCCATTCCATTGAAAAAGAAGATGTGGAGGACAAATTTTGACCTTAAAAAAGGCCCCATGCCAATTTAAATTTCAAGATTTCTTCCAGTTCTATGTTTTTTTGATTATATTTGCATATGTTAGCTTAAATGAGTATATACAAACTTAATATAAAATTCTCCTTCTTTTTGGAAATCCTCCATGGTTTTGGTGATAGACCACCAGCCACCCTTACTAGTAAGTACCTTACTATTAATACTCTTCAACAAACTATTTTGGCTGCTTGAGCAGTGCTGTATGACTGACGAAGCAGACCAGAATCTTAATAATGTTGGCAAAAGGACTGTCTAACTTATGGTGGCTCAATGAAGAAATGCTGGGGAATATGTTGGTCTTATGCCTGGTCACATGCCTGGTCATGCAACTGAAATGCATCTTGACATCTCATCAATAGGCTGCAATTATCCATGGTAAGTTACACAAACATTACATTGGATACCAACCAAAACACCACTAGGATTCAAACCAACACAGCATCAATCTATAATGAATTTCTGTAGTCGTGGGTACAGCCTCAACTACTGAATTCTGAATTGTTTAAAATAGTGTTTTAAATTGTTATTTTATATGTCAGCATCCAGTGGTTGATTTATGCTTGCACACTCAGGAACACAAGCAGCTCTTACTAATGAGCACCAATTTGTTATGAAAAGTTGTAATTTCTCTTATTCAAATCTGTATTTACAATACAATACTAGCCAAGTGGTTTTAAATTGTTTAATGCTGTTTATTGCTTGTATGCCACTCTGAGATCCTTGGATATAGAATATGACATAATTTTTTGAACTAATTAATTATTACATTTCTGGTTTCTTACCATGTTCTACTTCAGGATTTTCCCAGTACTTTGGATTTTAAAAGGCTAATTAAAACATGTTTGTAAAGGTAAAGGTAAAGGTTCCCCTTGACAATTTTTGTTCAGTTGTGTTCGACTCTAGGGGGCGGTGCTCATCCCCGTTTCCAAGCCATAGAGCCAGCGTTTTGTCTGAAGACAATCTTCCGCGGTCCCATGGCCAGTGCGACTTAGACACAGAACACTGCTACCTTCCCACCAAGGTGGTCCCTATTGATCTACTTGCATTTGCATGCTTTCGAACTGCTAGGTTGGTGGGAGCTGGGACAAGCGACAGGAGCTCACTCCATTGCGTGGATTTGATCTTACGACTGCTGGTCTTCTGACCCTGCAGCACAGGCTTCTGCGGTTTAGCCCACAGCGCCACCATGTGGACACCACATGTTTGTAGGTGTATTTAAAAAGAGTGCCATTGACTAGGCCTCCTTTCCTAATGTAGAAAATACTACACACAGGAAGACCTATCTACAAGAATAATATGAACAAATTCCACTTGTCTGGGAGCTCCATATATGTATTACAGTCTTATACAGCTTTGTAGAAAAGCCTTTTTTTCTATGCTCTCCCAAGATATATTGATGCCTGACTCAAAAGCAAGATGCCATTTTCAGATATGGACCCTGGGCAGTTGAAGCTTACCTCTGCAGTGGTGACAGAACAGAGTTGTCTACTACACTCAAAGACAGCAAGCTGGCTAAAGGAACACATAACAGGCCATACTGTATATCATGCATAACTGCCCCTGGCATTGTACCATTATTCCCCATCACCACCCTGAGATAGTTGACTCATTCTGTCTCATGATAAGACACAGCCCTGGCTATTACCAGTAGGGTTACTAGATCTCAGGGTTCCATCAAGAAACTCACAAGATTGTTGCTTATCTGGTTCTCCAGCTGGAGAAACAAATTTTAGGCTGAGTGGCAACAGAGGAGAAAAACATTCAAATTCTGAGTGTGACAAATCCTCAACCATCTCTATCTGTTCCCAGATGACACTTGGACTTATTGGCTGAGTGTGAGTGTGTTTTGCTGTACATTGTGCTTGTGAAACATTGTCACACCCAGAAGTGGTGGGCAATCTGGGAAGAGAGATGGGGGGAGTATGCATGTGCAAAAGGAGAACTAGGGGAGTTTTCCTCTGCCCACCTGCCCTACAGTGGGATGTCCTGGATAACCTCCCGCCATACTCCCCGAAGTCTTCTGGGGAGGAAGAAGGGATGTCAAGGGGCCCTGGCTGTGTTACCATTTAAGGAGGCCCAGGAACTACTTGGTGAAGCTAGGGAATGAAGCAGTATGTGGGGTTGGACCCCGAAAAGCCGGAAAATCAGGCAACATTGAAGTTACAATTCATCCAGGGCACAGCCTTGGATGTTAAGAAGAAATTGTAGAAGTTAGACAATCTGGCTGATTTGTCATTGGAGGACATTGTAAAGAAGGCAAGGAAGGCTATTGCAGGAAGGGAGGAAGTGCAAACAAGGAAACAGGTAAAAAAAGATGGCGCAAGTGGCAAAGGAAGTACAAGGAGAGAGTGAGGTAGAGAAGAGACAAGGAGGAGAAGATAGGCGAGAGCTGTTTCAACAAGTTATGCAGCTAGAGGAGGAAGAAGATTCAGAATAGGGGCCATTATACCAGGGACCCACACTAAAGGAGCCCTTAATAAAATTAATAGTGGGTCCAGGGAAGGAGGAGATGACATTTTTGGTAGACACTGGAGCAATCCGTTCCACAACATGCAGAAAAAAACTCTAACTGGCAATGTACAAAGGGGAGGGTGAAAATATTGGGAGCCACTGGACAAACCAAGAAGGTTCTGATTTTGCAACCCCTCGTGGTCAAAATGGAAGGGAAGGAGGGGCTCAGGGACAAGAGCTCCTCTGCCTTGGGACGTTTGTGCTGTATCTGAAGAGAAAGGGGGACAAGAGACTGAATCTGGGTCATTACCTCCAAGCATGTCAGCTTGGACAGCGGAGCTGTTTGCTCTAAAATTAGCACTACAGTTAGCTGAAGGGAAAAGGATCAAAAGAAAAAGGGGGGGAATGTAACTTTCTTAGTAGACACAGGGGACACATGATCAACGTTGTCCAAAAGTGTTCATGAAATGGAATCCTCAGGAGGAGTGCCAAGAGCAATGGGAATGAATGGAGTTTCTTCTGAGGTTCCCATTTTGAAACCATTAAGCATTAAACAGGAAGGGAAGGTGGTGAGGAAAAGTTCAATTGGCTTGTTAAACTTTCTGGGGGATAAAGGGCTGAGAGTAGGCAAAAAAAAGGCCAATTCATGGAAAAAGAGGTGAAATACTTGGGACACATATTGAAAGGGGGGAAAGAACTGTTTGGGAGAACAGAAGATCAAAAACCCTGATATAAACTCCAAAGCCAAAAACAAAATGGCAGTTGTGCGGATTTTGGGGTACAGTTGGGTTCTGTCGCACATAGATCCCAGATATGTCAAAACTGGTCAGTCCCCTAGTTAAAATGTTGGGGGCAAGTGGGACCCACCTGTGTGGTCTGGACAAAGGAGGGGAATCGAGCCATAGAGGAGGTTAAGAAAAAAGCTGACTGAGGCCCCTGCATTGGGCTTGCCAGATATGAGGAAGTTCATCCACATATTTGTGTCAAATCAAGGAATGTTTGTGGCAGCAGTGGCAGCCCAGAAGAGGGTGGGGGTGATGCAGCCGGTAGCCTATTTGTCTATGGGTGGAATCTGACATTTAAGATAAGATAAATGTTGTTTGCAAAAGTAAAAACGGCATTCGGTTAGAAGTCCAAATCATGTAGTGAGGGGGGATTGAGGGGTGTTACTTTAGTGAGATTGTGAGCTCATCGGC